TTAGAACGAAAGCATTTACCTTGTCACAATTAAGTGTGATGCTAGCTGCATGTTTTCTGCAAATGTTCTTTATCAAGTTGAAAAAGTGCCTCTTACTCCTTGTTTGCTGAGAGTTTTTGTTGGGGATTGGTGTTGGATTTTGCAGAATGTGTTTTTGATGTCAATTATAGAATCACATAAATTTTTTTCTTTAGCCTGTGGATGTGGTGTATTATAGTTATTAGCTTTTGAAAGGTGAACCAACCTTGCATATCTGGAATACATTTCACTTGGTTGTGGAGCGCTCCCTTCGATAGCTCAGCTGGTAGAGCGGAGGACTGTAGTACTTATCATTGTTTTTTATACATTGTTGGATTTAATTTGATAATATATTGTTGAGAAATTTTGCATCACATTCATGGGAAATGCTGACCCATAATTTTCCTTTTTTGTATTGTGTATACCTGAATTTGCTATCAGGGTAATGCTGATCTCACAGTATAATTTAGGAGAAATGTTTCTTCTGCTCTACTTTGGGAAAATATTATAGAGAACTGGCATTGTTTCTTCCTGGAATGTTTAAGAATTTACTAATAAAAGCCTCTGGGCTGTGATCTTTCTTTTTTGGAGGTTATATAATCACTGGTTCAGTTTTAAAAATAGATATAGGTCTGTTCAGACTGTTTATCCTTGCATGAATTTTGGTCTTTTTGTTTGTTTGGTTGGTTTTGAGATGGAGTCTCGCTCTGTCGCCAGGCTGGATTGCAGTGGCACAATCTCAGCTCACTGCAACCTCCACCTCCCAGGTTCACATGATTCTCCTGCTTCAGCCTCCTAAGTAGCTGGGACAACAGGCATATGCCACCATGTCCAGCTTATTTTTGTATTTTTAGTACAGACGTGTTTTCATTATGATGACCAGGATGGTCTTGATCTCTTGACCTCATGATCCACCCGCCTTGGCCTCCCAAGGTGCTAAGATTACAGGCATAAGCCACTGCACTCGGCCGAGTTTGGATCTTTTAAGGAATTGGTTTATTTCACACAAGTCTTCAAATGTGTGGTTATAACTTTGTTCCAGTATTCCTTTATTATCCGTTTAGTGATTGGCAGGGATACCTCCTCCTTCATCTGATACTGATAACGTGTCATGTCAGTTTTCTTTTTTTTGTTGTCTTGGCTACAAGTTGGCCAATTATTGATCTTTTTAAGAATGCACTTTTAGTTTCACTGATTTTTCTGTATTTATTTCTTAATTTCATTGATTTATGCTAACATCTTATTTCTTTTCATCTGGTTCTTTGTGCTTACATTTTGATTCTTTTTCTGCTTTTCTAAGGTGGAAATTTAGGTTATTAATTTAAATATTTCTTCTTTTCTAATATATGCATTTAATACTATACATTTCCCTCTAAACATTGCTTTTGCTGCATTACACCAAATTTGATACATAGTATTCCCTTTAAATGTGTTACTTATATTAACACATCAAATATATTCTGTGATTTAGTCTTTGAGCCATGTGCTATTTAGAAATGTTTTCTTTAATTTTCAAATATTTGGGCATTTTCCAGTTTTTCTTTTTCTTTTTGAGTCACGGTCTTGCTCTGTCACCCAGGCTGGAGTGCAGTGGCATGATCATTGCTTACTGCAGCCTCAACCTCCCCCACTCAAGTGATCTTCCCAGTGCAGTCTCTCAAGAAAGCGGGACCACAGATATTCTCCACCATGCCTGGCTAATTTTTTATTTTCTGTGGAGATGGAGGCTCCCTATGTTGCCCAAGCTGATTTAGAACTCCTGGGCTCAAGTGATTCTCCTACCTCGGCCTCTCAAAGTTTTGGGATTACATGTGTGAGCCACTGCACCTGGATTCAGCTATTTTTATCTTATTGATTACTAGTTGAATTCCACTGTCATATGAAGACATACATTGTATGATTTCTACTCTTTTAAGTTTGTTAAGGTGAATTTTCTGGTCTATAATGTGATCCATCATGGAGAACCTTCCATGTGAGCTTGAGAAGAATGTGTACTCTGCTGTTGTTCAATAAATGTCGATTAGAACCAGTTGATTGATTGTGCTGTACAGGTACACAATATTCTAATGATTTTCTGTTTTCTGGATCTATCAATCAATGACAGACTAATGTTGAAATCTCCAACTATCTAACTCATTCTGATGTAATTTTTCTAAAGGATGTAAGGTCTGTGTCTGGATTCTTTCTTTCTTTTGTTTTGTTTTCTTTTCTTTTCTTTTTGCAGGTGGATGACCAGTTCTAGCATCATTTGTTTACTCCATTGTATTGCCTTTGATCCTTTGTTAAAGATCAGTTGACTATATTTCTGTGGATCTATTTCTGAGCTTTCGATTCTATTTCATTGATCTATATGTCTAGACTGTTGCCAATACCACAATGTCTTGATTATTATAGCTTTATAAGTCTTGAAGTATTGTAGTGTTAGTCCTCCAAATTTATTCTTCTTTGATACTGCGTTGGCTATTCTACATGATTTGCCTCTTCATATAAACTTTAGAATTAGTTTGTTGCTATTCACAAAATAAAATTCTGGGATTTTTATTGACATTGCATTGAATCTATAGATTAAGTTGGAAGAACTGAGATCTTGATAATATTAAAACTTCTTATGCATAAATATGAAGTATCTCTTCAATTATTTAGTTTTAAAATTTCTTTTATCAGAGTGTTGTAGTTTTCCCCATATAGATTTTATATGTATTTTGTTAGATTTATCTTCAGATTTTCAGGTGTTCGTTTGCTCTGTGACTGCATGTCTCTGCTTGGTCCAAGAAAGCCATTGACTTTCAGTTGACCCAGCTTTTTCTTGTGTCAAGGATAGGGATATTGACTTTCAAAGTCTTCACATGTTGGAACTGAATCTGAAAATTCCCAATTATTTGTGTATTGAAATTACACAAATTTAGTTTTATTATTTTTTAATTTCATTTTAGGTTTTGGGGTACATGTGCAGAACATGCAAGATAATTGCATAGGTACACACATGGCAGTGTGATTTGCTGCCTTCCTCCCCTTCACCCACATTTGGCATTTCTCCCCAGGCTATCCCTCCCCAGCTCCCCCCTCTGCTGTCCCTCCCCATTCCCCCCAATAGACCCCAGTGTGTAGTACTCCCTTCCCTGTATCCATGTGTTCTCATTTTTCATCACCCGCCTATGAGTGAGAACATGCGGTATTTCATTTTCTGTTCTTGTGTCAGTTTGCTGAGAATGATGTTCTCCAGATTCATCCATGTCCCTACAAAGGACACGAACTCATCGTTTTTGATTGCTGCATAATATTCCATGGTGTATATGTGCCATATTTTTAAAACTAAAGCAAAATAAATATATATAGAGGGAAATCAAGGAAGCATGGGTTGAGCATAAGTTCTGGGAACTTCAAGTGGTTTGATATTCTCTAGATCATAGTATACATGTGAAAGAGGCTGCATATGTGTATTAGTCCATTCTTACACTGTTATAAAGACACTACCCGAGACTGAGTAACTTGTATAGAAAGGAAGTTTAAATGACTCACAGTTCCACATGGCTGGGGAGGTCTCAGGAGACTTAAAATCATGGTGGAAGACAAAGGGGAAGCAAGGCACATCTTACATAGTGGCAGGTGAGAGAAAGAGCAGGGAAACAGCCACTTTTAAAGCATCGGATCTTGTGAGAACTTCACTATCACGAGAACAGCATGGGGGAAACCACCCCTATGACCCAATCCCTTTTCACCAGATCCCTCACTTGACATGTGGGTATTACAATTCTAGATCAGATTTGGGTGAGGACACAGAGCCAAACCATATCAATATGGTTTGATGAAACTAGGTGGGCAGGGACTGGAACACTCCTATGCAGAGTGTTACACACTTAGTGATGCATTAAATCATTGTGTCTTACTCTTTATTTAACTCCTTAATATTTAGCACAGTGCCTAGTAAGTAGAAGGTGCTGAATAAATGCTTACTGAATGACTAGACAAAGGAAAGAAAATATAATTGAAATCTATACTTAATATTAAGTTAAATTGAAATGACGCTTCACATTTCTATTCAGGAACATGAAGGCTTCTATTCTGGAGTTTGTTTACTCATCTTTCTCACTATGTTTTAAAATATTTAAGTGTATAAAAACACCTCTTTTATTTCCAATGTTTCCATTTAAGTGTATAAAAACACCTCTTTTATTTCCAATGTTTCCAAATGTCTAGGCAGCTCTGCATGTTTAGATGGTGGTTTTAAAATTTTAATTAATATTTATAGACTCCTCTTGCTGCTTCTTCTATGAATAAAAAATTATTCTTTGGGTAATGTCTCTGAAGTTAATATTGACATTCAATCTATTCAGAAGTGGTTTAATATTCTCATTGCCTTCCCCCATGTTTCCCCAGGGACTGTAGTTTCTTTGGGTTTCCCAGAGCCACAATACAGGAAGCTTTTTCTATCACATGTTTTCTTATTTAATTTTAGAGAGACTAGTAGTTCTTTACTCCCTTCTATATTGCAGGGGACAGTGATTTCTTTTTTGCTTCTTTTCTTTCTTTCTTTCTTTTTTTTTAAGATAGAGTCTTGCTCTGTCACCCAGGCTAGAGTGCAGTGGCACAATCTCAACTCACTGCAGCCTCCGCCTCCTGGGTTCATGCGATTCTCCTGCCTCAGTCTCCTGAATAGCTGGGATTACAGGCACCCACCATCATGCCCAGCTAATTTTTGCAGTTTTAGTAAAGACGGGGTTTCTCCATGTTGGCCAGGCTGGTCTCAAACTCCTGACCTCAGGTGATCCACCTGCCTTGGCCTTGCAAAGTGCTGGAATTACAGGTGTGAACCAGCACGCTTGGCCCCGGTGATTTCTATTCTGCTTCATTACTCATGGCTTTAGTATCTTGCTAGGTCTGAAAATGTACATCCAAGGTAGAGCTATATCAGAATGCAATTGAATATTTATTCAAAACTATAATGGAATATTTGCACTTTCTGTTGTTTTGGGATAAATATTAGAAATATGTCACCCCATGGAAGCTTTGTCAAAGGTCTGGCATGCAGGGATGCATCAGGTTTTCTAAATTAAGACCACATGTAGTATCAAATATTAAAATAATGGAGACATTGAGGACATTTTGGTTAATTTTATATCATAGATGAGGGAAATAAGGCTTAAAGAATTGCAGATATTTTTTTTTTCTGTTTACACAACTAGTTACTGGCAGAACCGAAATTCATTTTCAGTTTAACACTCTCTTCTCTACATCCCGTTTTTCAATTTTGAGGGCTTATTATTGTTGATAATAGCCCTCATTTTGGTTTATAGCCCTCAAAAACCAAAAATAGTAGGAGTGCTATCCTGAGTTTTATGCCCTTGGAGATTGATATCACCAGTACATGATGTTCAAATGCTTGGTGTCCTGCAGAACCACTTACAACATTCTCCTTATTGGAAATGAAAGAGTGGAGAATTTCCCGGATTATTAGAGAAATTTGCAGATCCCCTTAAGAATATGTCCTTTTTTCTCAGCAGGTTCATTGACCAGTTCATACCGACAAGATGAATCCAGCAAATCACTCCCAGGTGGCAGGATTTGTTCTACTGGGGCTCTCTCAGGTTTGGGAGCTTCGGGTTTTTTTCTTCACTCTTTTCTCTGCTGTATATTTTATGACTGTAACAGGAAACCTTCTTATTGTGGTCATAGTGGCCTCTGACCCACATCTGCACACAACCATGTATTTTCTCTTGGGCAACCTTTCTTTCCTGGACTTTTGCTACTCTTCCATCACAGCACCTAGGATGCTGGTTGATTTGCTCTCAGGCAACCCTACCATTTCCTTTGCTGACTGCCTAACTCAACTCTTCTTCTTCCACTTCATTGGAGGCATAAAGATCTTTCTGCTGACTGTCATGGCATATGACCGTTACATTGCCATTTCCCAGCCCCTGCGCTACACACTCATTATGAATCAGACTGTCTGTGCCCTCCTCATAGCAGCCTCCTGGGTGGGGGGCTTTATCCACTCCATAGTACAGGTTGCATTGACTATCCAGCTGCCATTCTGTGGGCCTGACAAGCTGGACAACTTTTACTGTGATGTGCCTCAGCTAATCAAATTGGCCTGCACAGACACCTTTCTCTTAGAGCTTCTAATGGTGTCTAACAATGGCCTGGTGACCCTGATGTGTTTTCTGATGCTCCTGGGATCCTACACAGCACTGCTCTTCATGCTCCGAAGCCACTTACTAGAGGGCCGCAGCAAGGCCCTGTCCACCTGTGCCTGTCACATTGCTGTGGTGACCTTAATCTTTGTACCTTGCATCTACATCTATGCAAGGCCTTTTCAGACATTCCCCATGGACAAGGCAGTCTCTGTGCTGTACACAGTCCTCACCCCCATACTGAATCCTGCCATCTATACCCTGAGAAACAAGGAAGTGATCATAGCTGTGAAGAAGCTGTGGAGGAGGCAAAAGGACCTTACTGGTACCCTGGAGTGCAGACCCTTAGATTAGCAGAGGCAGTGGCCTGAGAATCTGAAAGACGCTTCAGGGTATTAGCTTGCTTGATAGGACCCTCAAGGTAGATAAAACTTTATGCCCACTGCTTCTCCATTGTTCTTAACCTCAGTCAGGTTCTGGTTACCTGAACAATTAGCCACAATGGAAGATGGGATGAGTGTGTCTTAGAACCAATTCTAAGTGCCTCCCAGATGAAAGGTATCAAGTTCTATGCAGAAGTACTGTTTGGCTCAAAGACCGCTTTCCCAGGTAAGAATAATATTGGCCTTGCTGAGAAAGTTTCAACTAGTAAATCTGGTGTCTCTTTCCTGATATCACTTTTTGGACACAAAATATATTGGAAGAGGTTAAAATAGTTTTAAATTTCTTTAAGACAAGGGTTCTCTTGAAATATTGGACCCTGAGTCCCAGTGGAGATCGACTGATAGTTGAATGTTTGTCAGTGAGGAAAAAGGAAATTACCTTGAGCACATTACTTTCTTCCTCATAGTTTCCTAGGGCCACTGTTGTTGCCATCAGCATCCTCATTGTCATCATCTTTATCACATAAATAAATTTAATGAGAGCTTACTATGTTCCAGACACTGTACCAGGTGGTTTACTTTTATAATTTATTTTAATTTTCTCAAATTAAAAATTAAAATTCTTATGAGGTAGGTATCATCTTTACTTTAAACATGAGTCAATTGCAAGTTAGAGACATTACATAACTTACTTAAGGCTCCAGAGCTTGTTTTCTGGAATCCAACCGAAGTCTATACATTGTCAGTGCCCAAGTCCTCAATGGTGTCTAAAACTTATAGGTTCTAAGGATCTGTGGATTTATGTTATCATGGATAGAGTTTATATCATCATGAGTTATACTGACATCATAGACTTGGCATTTGATCAAACTTTTAAGATATGGCTTGATCATTCATTCCCTTACAACCCTTCAGAGGCTTTCTATCGCCTTAAAAAAAAAAAACCCATGAATATGATAGATAAGATGTTTTCTGACTTGGCCTCCACCCATCTTTCCAATCTCACTTCTCTAACTCCACTCTTTGCTAACCCTCTATTTGCATTTACTTCTCTCAGTCTCTCCTTACTCCTAGGGTTTGTAAATATTCTTTACTGACACTGGGATGCTCTTCTTTCAGTCTTTGCCTAGCTAACTGTTGCTCAATCTCAATCCTTGGTCTAAAGATTGCTTCCTCAAAGCTGTGTTTCCTGATCTTTAATCCAAATTAATTTGTCCTTAGTAGTGCCTCTAACAAAACTCCAAAGTATTTATCACAAATTTCAGTTGCATACTGATTTATGTATTTATTTTTGTGTCAGCCATTGCCCACTATCCTATAAATTCTATAAAACAATGAGCCGTGTTTAGCTTACTTAATGCTATATTCTCCAAGCCTAGCACCACAGCCTAGATGAGGGTGCAGCAACAGAGGGGCGTCATGTCAACACTGAGCAGGCATTTACTATTGGGTTTGTACACAGCCTAACCCTGCACTTACACTCCCTTGAAAGTGCATGTCTCTTTAAAATTTGTTCTGTAGACATCTCCCTTGGCTCAACATAGTTGGAGCATTGCCTGGGACAGTGCCTGAAACATACTGGATATCTAATAATATTTATTAAAGGAATGATTAAATGAGTGTTGCTATATTCGAAGTCTGTTAGTAGAGTTTGACTTGGGAATTAGGGCTATCCAAATATTTAACTGATCTTAACATTCTTCCTTTATGAGATTCCTATAGGAGCTGCTAGTTATATAAGGAGCAATAACAAATGCAAATCAGAGAACCATTTATTACTGCACTAGAATTGGATTTTCTAATAATACAGGGGTTCTGCTTAATCTTATTTGCAATACTCAGTCTAGTTGAAAGCCATCAGAGGGCCTCTTACTCCACACTGAGCTCCAAATCTGAATCTCAATATTTCAGCATCTTCTGATTGGCTACATGACACAGGAGACTGATGCAGAAAGAAAAGTGTTTAAGTGCACATATGAGGAGAAAGAGAAGGATCCTCCCTGTATGGACATCACACACTCACACATGTTCTCCAATCCAGGGATTCTATCTTGAAGGCAATTTGAGCAATTGGATCAGCCTTCTCTGTGGGGAGGAGGAGGCACAAGGAAGGAAGGTTGTAGGGAGGGAAAATGAAGGTTAACCACCATATTTCATATTGTATATTTACAAAGACCGTTCATTAGCTGAGAAAAGTGCACAGTGTGGCCTATGTTCTTTAAACTTCTTGCACATTTAAAACATTTTCAATAAGCATTTAATCTCCCATTTAATAAGATCATTTCCTTTGACTCGTGACCCCCAGTTTCCTCACAGCAGTGAGCCTGAGCCACCCCAGGGCATCTCTCAGTGCTTGCTGCACCTTGTCATTGCGGAGAGTGAAGATGAATGGGTTCAGGAGGGGAGTGATGATGCAACTGAGGACGGCGACACCTTTGTTGAGCAGTTTGGACTGAGCCTCTGACATACGAATGTAGAGAAAGATGGAACTGCCATAGAAGATGACCACCACTGTAAGATGCGAGGCGCAAGTGGAGAATGCTTTCCTTCGCTCAACAGCTGTGGGGGCCCCAAGAACAGTGACAAGAATGCAGGCATAGGAAACTGAGGTCAGAGCCAGTGAGCCCAGTAACACTGATGTAGAAAGCATGAAAGCCACCAGTTCCAGCAGATGGGTGTCCCCACAAGAGAGCCTGAGCAAGGACCAACTGTCACAAAAGAAGTGGTCAATACCATTGGGGCCACAGAAAGGCAAGCTGGCCATGAGGAGAGTGGGGCAAAGGACCCAGAGGAATCTAGCTAGCCAGGAGGCCAGCACTAGCTGGGAACAGACATGGATGCTCATCAGGGTCTCATAGTGGAGTGGTCGGCAGATTGCCAGGTAACGATCCAGAGACATGACAGCCAAGAGGAAGAAATCAGTGGTACCTAGAAGGAAGTAGAGGTAGGACTGGATGATGCAGCTGACAAATGAGATGGTATGATTCCCCGTCAGGATGACAACAAGCATCTTGGGAACCACAACAGTTACCAGCAACAGCTCCAGGAAGGATAAATTCCGCAGAAAGAAGTACATCTGTGTGTGCAGGCATCGGTTCGTCCAACTGAGCACAATAATTAACAGGTTGCCTGTGGCAGTTACAATGTATGTCGCCATTAACCCCAGGAACACCAGGAATTGTAGGAGATGGTTACTGGGGAAGCCCAGTAGGACAAAGCTTGTTACCTGAGTCCAGTTTTCAGGGCTCATCTTCAGTCACCTGCAGGGAAAATGAAACAGAACTCTGTAACTGGTCTATAGCTACCAATCATCATTTAACCAATTGGTAAAATAATATTGAATACCCATCACTTCCTTACATTCTGAGAATATATTGATCTGTATTTTGGTCTGCAAGTGACTTACAAAGAGAGAAATAAATTACAATAGTAAGCAGCATGGCAACATTGACCATCCAATTCTGTATCTGAAAATTTACACTGTGCACAGCATATCTTCTCCCAGTAAAACAGTAAAACTCTTAAAACTAGGTTTTACTGTTTTCAGAGATAAGAAAAGGATGACGAAGGGAGTTTAAGTGACCCTTCTATGATCAGGTATGAAACAGGTGGTAGAGGCAAAATTTCATACCAAGCTCCTGTGATTCCAACACGTGCTACTGACACTGTTGTGCTCAGGCAGAGAACCATGTGAGTAGTGTGGCCTTAGAGGAATCCAGAGGAGTAGAGAGGTCAGAGAAGACTTTATATAGAAAATGCACCATGAACAAATTTTACTGGTATTAAAAACTCTTGTTTTAGTGTTTATGGTCCTTCTGTGTCCTGTCTTCACATAAAATAACAGAATTTAAAAATCTGGGCTCTCGGTAGCCTTAGAGATTTAATTTGTGTTAGTCAGCCAGGAAGCCAAATAAGACAGGACTGTGCAAAACCCCAATGCTGTCATAACGTGTTCTTTTTCTGTCGCCCGACCCCAACCTAGACTCCTATAGAATGCTAGAAATCCCTCTTCCTAGTGGAATGCTTACTAGTTTCTCTCAGCTTCAGTTCACTCAACATTCTAATAGTATAAGGTGGGGAATAAGGGGAAATGGTCTCAAAGGAGATGGTATGTAACAACTTGCCTTCTGAACTTTTGCCTTAATTTGGAGATATGTTTGGCATCCTGTAAAATGTATCTATATGTTTTGAAGGACTGGGTTTCATTGGACAATTAGACATCTTAGGTTCTCTTTTTTTTTTTTTAACATCTAGCACCAAGTACTCAGAATCACACAGATCTTGCTTAATTAGAGAAAATGGGAAATATTCTAAGACAAAAAGAATAAAAATGAGCATTAAGTTACTTTGTTTAATTGACAAGGAGTAAAGTGTTAAGAGTTTAGACAAAGTTTAATTGAGGATTATCTATTACTTCAGACCAACAGTGTTAAAGATGAGGAGCACAACAGATGCTGGAGAGGATGTGGAGAAATAGGAACACTCTTACACAGTTGGTGGGAGTGTAAATTAGTTCAACCATTGTGGAAGGCAGTGTGGCGATTTCTCAAGGATCTAGAAATAGAAATTCCATTTGACCTAGCAATCTCACTATTGGGTATATACACCAAGAACTATAACTCGTTCTGCTATGAAGACACATATATACGTATGTTCATTGTAGCCCTGTGTACAATAGCAAAGACCTGGAACCAACCCAAATGCCTATCAATAATAGACTGGACAAAGAAAATGTGGTACATATACACATGGAATACTATGCAGCCATAAAAAATGATGAGTTTGTGTCCTTTGTAGGGACTTGGATGAATCTGGAAACCAACATTCTCAGCAAACTGACCTAAGAACAGAAAGCCAAGCACTCTATGTTCTCACTCATAGGTGGGTGTTGAACAATGAGAACATGTGGACTCAGGGAGAGGAGCATCACACACAGGGGACAGTTGGGGGTAGGGGAGAGATAATGGGTGGTGAGAGGGAGGTGAGGGTGGAGAGGGATGACACGGGGAGAAATGCCAGATATAGTATGTACCTAAAATAAAATAAATTGATAAAAAAAGATGGGGAGCACAGATATTTTCTCAATTCTGTCTGAAGCTACTTTAACAGGCAGTATTGAACTGAGGCAAGCAATTCAGGTTTGAAGGATGAAGAAGAGAGACATGTTCTGTTTATATCAATTCTGGAAGGAATAAGTCTGAGATTTAAGTAGCTTGGTAATAATAATGCTTCATTCTGGTAGGCTAGGGCTTACATCTCCAAAATCAAAGAAATAACCTTAATAAAACTCAGCAAAGGAGGCCAGAGCCCTATGTCAGGATAACATAATCATTTCATATAATGAAATGTGCTACTGTGGCTATTTCCAAAGCACCAGGTAAATATTATCAAAAGTAACTTATAAAGCCTGTGAAACATATGAAATCCGTTTCTGACTACTGTTATAAAATACATTCACTAAAGCCTGTTCTCCAGCTTCCCTTTGTCAACCTGAATAACTCCCTGTCAGTTTCAGAGAGCCCCATCAGTTGGCTGGCTGTCTCTCATAACGCCAGACCGTAACTATGTCATCCCTGTATATACATGTTTAAAATGTCGTTTTCAACCTCAAAATAATCTTAATGCCTTAAATCATTTTGCCTAATGTCAAACAGCCAAAAATTGTTTGTATTATAGTTGGAATTTTTTTTTGTTCCTATGTATTTTGCACCAAAAATACTGATTAACAAGATGAGAAAAAGTGAAGGGAATCAGAACTTTGAGGGACACACACACACATTTTTCGATTGACATAATGATTTAATTTACACAATTAGATAACTATTATTATGGTCCACTTCACAATTGAGCAAACTAGAACAGTATGGGTAAACAAAGAAACAAACAAAAAACACCCTCAAACGTAAGGCTAAGATACACATCTAAGCTTACCTGACTCTGGTGTGTGATCACAGCACTAGCAAATATGACCATGAAATTTGAACCTATCAAAGGAAGAAAAGGATATAGATTTAAAATGCTATAATATAATGACGCTCATAATGATAGCAGCTAGAACTTACTGAGTAGTTGCTAGATACCTGAGACTTTGTATTCATTTCATTGTTAAATCTCTCAGCAACTATACAAGGTAGACATTATCATTATCTCCATCCTACAGACAAGGTTTAGGGTTAGAGGGATTAAGGACCCACATTAATGAGTACTAGAGTTAATGATTAAAATTATAGCAATCTGAATTCAGAGCCTGAATTTTTAACTGCTAAACCACAATATCTTATATGAGAGAGAGTTTGTAATTATACATTTGATTTGATATCAATTTCCACTTGTCCTCTTACTTCATCTGTCAATGAATGATAGGAATTCTACATATAGAAATGAATTGTTATAGTTTAAAGATTTTATCCTGATAAAATGAAAACATCCCCCAGGATATGTGTTAGATTGGGTCTTATCCAAAAGTCTTTTAGCTCCTTCTCCAGAGCAATGGACAGTAGAGGCTATAGTCTCAATTACCACTCCCCATTCCCAGGAGATGGGCACACCCCACCCCCTTAAATAAGATGTTGAAACTTATTTCTTCTTGTTCTTTGAGTTCTGTTTCAGGCAGAGGTTGCATTTCTATCACATAGAAATTGAGGCATTTTACTTGGCAACAAAGATGAAGTATTAATCATACACTTTCTTTCTAACCACTAACTGGTTATAGATGTAGAAGCACACGTAAGTACATACCAATTTTATCAGTCCCCAGTAAGTATTCCCTCATGGCGTTACTACATTTTGCTTGTTATCCTAAATTTGATGGAATCATCAAAATCATCCTATCTCCCTTTTGTAAGATGGAACTTTCCTGCCAGGGTGTACATACACTTGTGCTTATGAGACCCTTTCTCAAGCCCTTCATCCACCTGGACCATTTGCTTTTGTAAGTTTCTCCTTGGCTGACTGATGTTTGCTAATGTGCGTGTTATTCTGCCTAACCTTGTTACCTCTCATTTTTCAGTCTTTTCATACCTTCCTTGGCCAAATCCTTTCCTTTTTATTGGCAACACTATTGCTTGCTTTGTTTCTCTTTCCTACCTGTGGATGTACTCTGGAAATCTTGGAGTTTGAATGGATTTTACACCTTGTTAGTCAAGGGTGAATTTAGGTTCATTGAATTTTTCCTAAGAGTATGGAAAACCTGCATTGGAATCACCTGGTATGTTTCTTTAAAATGCTGATTTCTAGGCTCTACTCATAAAATTGCAATTCTCTGGGTTTAGGGCTCAGGAATATAATTTTTTATCAATTTATCTGGGTTATTCTTATTTAGCCAAAAGTTTGAGAAGTACTAGTTTTGGGGAGAATGAAGGGTGTTGAGCAGGTTTGAGCATTATTAGGGTAAAGGACTGAGGTGAAGGGAGGGGTAAGTTGAAGGTCAGATCTAGAAGGGCCTGAATATGGAAGGCTGAGTTTTATAAACTAAAAACATTACCAACTTTTTAATGCGGCGATAGAACTAACTATGTAGCTGACCCAGAACAGCAATCAATCTAGCTTTCTGAAGTCTTACAACATATTTGGATGGTTGTCTCAGGCTCTAATATGTCCACAGGCCTGCAGAGGGTTTTTTTTATTTTTATTTTTATTTTTATTTTTCAGGTGCGAGCTAGCAAAGTACACTCACAAGGGTGAGATTGCACATTTGTTTTGTTATGCGTTGATAACCTACCAGGTATCGGAGGTACCTAACAGAATGAGCCTGAATAAGCTATTGAGGAGCTCATAGTGTGTAAGGGTTAAATACATGCAAATGATAAATTCCATTATAACTCAAATTCCATAGCCTTTAAACTCATCAGGTTGAAATCGTTGTTTATTTATTTAGAGATGGAGCTTCACTCGGTCACCCAGGCTGGAGTGCAGTGGCACCATCACAGCTCACTGCAACCTCTGCCTCCTGGATTCAAGCAATTCTCTGCCTCAGCCTCCTGAGTAGCTGGGATTACAGGCACCTGCCACCACGCCTGGTTAATTTTTGAATTTTTAGTAAAGATGGGGTTTCACCATCTTGGCCAGGCTGGTCTTGAACTCCTGACCTTGTGGTCCACCTGCCTCAGCCTTCCAAAGTGTTGGGATTACAGGCATGAGCCACTGCACCAGGCCGAAATCATTTTTTAATTTAGCAGATAGCATGCTCTGTTCTTGCCATCTTCAAAGCAGGATATACTTATGTAATAACTATGAATATATTTTGAACAGTAGTTTGATAATACTTATACTCTTATTTT